GGTCCTGACCTGAAATGTCAGCTTTCCTGTTCCTCTGATGCTGCCTGGCCTGCTGTGTTCCTCCAGTTCCACAGTGCATTATCTCTGACTGCAACATCGGCAGTTCTTACTATCTCCGAGATCGCATTGCTACAGCTCCTTTCAAGACCGCAGCCAACCAAGTAAGTTTGAAATGTCACCACCTTTGAAATACAGGAAACCCAGAAGCCATTTGTACACAGCAAGACCCCACAGTCAATAAGGCAGGAATGATCAGCTCGTCTGTGTTTTTTTTAAGAGATGTCTGTGATGAGGGGTCAATATTGACGAGCAAACTCCCCCCCGCCAAAGTGGTGCCTCAAGATTTTTTCAAAATCATTCATGGGATGGGGGCATGGGGGCATGGCGGGGGGTGGGGTGGTGGTAGGGTGTGTCACTGGCCAGGCCACCATTTATTGCCTATCCCTAATAGCCCAGAGGGCAGTTAAGCATCAACCACATTGCTGTGGGTCTGGACTCCTTCCCTAAAGGAACCAAGTGGATTTTTCCTGACAACCAACAGTGGTTTCAAGATCATGATGAGACTCAATTTTACTTGAAAGAAGATGGAACCTCAGCTTGATATCTATTCGAACAGAATCGCTTAATGCAGTTCAGTTGCATCATTGGAGTGGAGCCTAAATCCATAAATATCTCTGATGTATGTTTGAGCGCTACTTCTAAACCTCAACTAAGGCTTAACACAGGGTGCCTGAAACTGTGGGGGGTGTGGGAAGGTGTAATTAGCTCAGTTTACTGGATAAAAACCAAAAGAACTGCGGATGCTGTAAATCAGGAACTAAAACAGAAGTTGCTGGAAAAGCTCAGCAGGTCTGACAGCATCTGTGAAGGAAAAAACAGAGTTAACGTTTCGGGTCCGGTGACCCTTCCTTCAAGTTTTCTCCTTCACAGATGCTGCCAGACCTGCTGAGCTTTTCCAGCAACTTTATTTTTGTTCAGTTTACTGGATAGCTGCTTTGCTAATGCAAGGTAATACCAGCAATGCAGGTTTAATTCGCAAAGCAGCTGAGGTTGTTATGAATGACTCTCCTTCTCAACTTTCCTCTTCACTTTCTGCATGGTGGACCTTCAGGTTAAAATCTTCTCCAAAAGACAGTACAGCTGGCTTGGCCACGTCAATGGCTGCTATCATTGTGGCCTGGCCATCATCTCATACCGTGGACTTCCTACTCAACATAGAAAAAGAAGGCAGCTGAGGGAATATGGCGCTAGACTGTCAGTAGAGGTTTCCAGCTGGTTACTAGACAAGGGAGCAAGATGAGGACTTTGGCCATGGACAGGAGTGAATGGAGTGCTGTACCTGCTTCCTGTATCTCCGACTACAGGAACCAATACCCCTTAGTAAGTCATTGGGAGAGCATGCGCCCATGTTGGTCAGTGACAATGGGCCCAATTTCAGGATCGAATAAGGGCAACAGGGTCTAGGAAGAGGGAAAGTTAATGGGAAAGATGGCGGTCAACCAGGCATCAATGAACTGTTTGAGTCTGGAGGTGGAAAACACACAAATGAGGGTTTGCACATCAGATGGACTGGAGCAGCGATAGAAGTTGCTGGTGTTACCAATGGGGAAGTGATGGAGATCGTAAAAGATCAAGTGATCTTGTGGGATGAATAGGATGTTGAAGTTGCAAGTAGTCTGGTTCAACCAGGGCCAGTAGCTAGGAGTGGTTTAGAATTAGTGGCTGGGGAACAAGTCAATGAAAGGAGATGATGATAATGGCTACCGTCCTCCAAAGGCTTAACTGGGGTCATTGTTTGAGTTGTAAGGAGAGGCTGAGACTTTTTTCCGTGGAGCATAGGACACTGAGAGGTGACCTTATGGACATGTATAAAATCACGAGAGGCATAGATAAGGTGGGATAGCCATCAGCATGTCTCCAGGGTAGGGGAGTCTAAAACTAGAGGGCAGAGGTTTAAGGTGAGAGGGGAGAGATACAAAAGGGTCCGGGGGGTGATTTTTTTCACACTGAGCATGGCGAGTGTCTGGCAAGGGCTGCCAGAGGTATTGGTGGAGACGCGTACAGTTGGGTCATTTGAGAAACATTTAGACAGGTACATGGATGGGATACGGACCAAACACAGGCAAATGGGACTAGATTAATTGTGAAAACTGGGTGGCATGGACAAGTTAGGCCGAAGGGCTTGTTTCCACGCTGTAGGCCTCTATCACTCTATGACCACTGAACTGTGTGTGCTTGTGGGGTCAATGTGGAATTCTGAAGAAAGAGCTTTACCGAGAGTGTGGTGCAAAGAGAAGATAGGGGAAAAGGGTAGGTATATTTAAAGAGAATCTAGGTAAATGCACGAGGATGGAAAGAATATGTTGATTGAAAAGGACAAAGAGAAGCTTGCATGGAAGATAAACTAGCATGGCGTGTTTGGGCTGAATGGCTTCTTTCTGCACCAAATGTTGGCACCATAACTGTTGCTGGGACACGGTGGAACAATAAGTGGCATAGAGATTATGTGCTGTGCGTTACTGTCAGCTCTAATCTATGTTCGGGAAACTCGGGAATATTTCTGAAAGAAAAGAAATGGCTTACCTTCTGTGGCACACTGAACGATGGTGGGGATCAAAGTGAAAATCAGGCACAAAAAGCTTGGTCTCTCTTCTCCAAGCATGTTGAAACTTCTTTTCCACAGATCTTTTGTCTGAAGGGGTTTCAGCCTTTTGCTTTCACATCCTCATTATCTTAATAAATAAAACAGAGAAATATCATGAATGCACCACACAAGAGATCAGTAAGACCTGAATCACTCTGTGTTAACTGCGACCAGGGCATTGAATAATCCTTTCTTGCTTCTTTTCAGCCCTTGACATAGTCGACATCATCTTCCTCCTCTAGCTCAGTGGAACTTGCCTCAAATTGCTCCTCCTTTGCCTGTCCCATCACAGCCAGAGCCTCTCTTCCCATCGCTACACTGTTACCTCAGAGAGCACAAGAATCTGTCCTCAGCCTCTGTTTCACATTCATGCAATGTCAGTGCTTGGAAACATCATCTGCAGAAGAGGGACCTACCTCCATATGTTCTTTGATTCAGGGTGCGTTTGTGTTCCGAACTTTGGCAAGCTCTGCATTTGGTTTGAAGGTATTTGTATCTCTATTTTGTGAGTGTGTGTGTGTATGTGCATGTTTGTGTGCGTGTGCGTGTGTTTGTGTGTATGTGCATGTATGTGTATATGAGTGTTTGTGTGTGTGTGTGTGTCTTAGTATGTGTCTGTATGTTTGTGTGTGTGTCTGTGTGTGTATATATGAGTTTTTGTGTGTATGTCTGTATATGTGTGAGTGTGTGTGTGTGTGTTTGTATGTGTTTGTGTGTGTGAATGTGTGTGTGTATCTGTATGTGTTTGTGTGTGTGAGTGTGTGTGTGTGTATATGTTTGTGCATGTGTGTGTGTGTCTGTTGTGTTTGTGTATGTGTGTGTGTGTTTGTGAGTACATGTGCATATGTATGAGTGTTTGTGTGCATGTCTGTATATGTGCGTGTGTGAGTGAGTGTGTGATATGAGTGTGCATGTGGTATATTCGTCTGCACATGTGTGTGGGCTTACCATTGCCCCTGCCTGTGTATGGTTTTGTAAGCATATGTGTGTGTAAAACATGTGTGGACATATGTAACTTTGTAAGGGTGTCAGTCTTGCCATTTATCTATCTTCCTGTATCCAAAGAGGTTGGTTAGCTGAGTTAGGGATAGTAGGAACTGCCGATGCTGGAGAATCTGCGATAACAAGGTGTAGACCTGGATGAACACAGCAGAGTGTGAAAAAGGGTCCAGACCTGAAACATCAGCTTTCCTGCTCCTCTGACGCTGCTTGGCCTGCTGTGTTCATCCAGCGCTACACCTTGTTATCTTGGTTAGCTTAGTTAACATAAGAACATAAGAACTAGGAGCAGGAGTAGGCCATCTGGCCCCTCGAGCCTGCCCCGCCATTTAATAAGATCATGGCTGATCTTTTTGAGACTCAGTTAGCTGGTTTGCAACACAGTGTGATGCCATCTGTATGGGTTCGATTCCTGCACTGGCTAAAGTTATCATGGAGGGTGCTCCTTTGAAAGATGTGATGACCCTCAGGTTAAAGCTCCCACCAGTTAACTGTCTACAATGAGAGAGAGCTGTCCCCTAGGGCCATGGTGTGAGATGCATGTCTACACATAAGTGAATATAAACACACATACATACAGTGTATATTTAGGCTCCATCTAGGCGTATTCATGTTTTGTTCTCAGTTGGAGAATATAGATAGATATCCATATTCACGTGCATGTAATAATATCTAGAAATAAAACAAATCTCCTCGAAAGTGTTAAACAAACCATGACAATGGAGCGAACAGTTGCTGTGTTTATCTGAACTCACATGAACACTCCTGAAAGGGTTTGAAATAGCTTTGTCCAAATTAACTATAGCAATTAATCTCTCAAAGAGCAGTTTGAGGCAAGTGATCAGAGATAAGTTTGCAGTGCAAGGTCAGGTCCCTTGAAAACGGGCAGAAGTCAAGCCTTGATAAAATATACAACGTTCGCTGCGGTATTTCTCGATGAATGCCTTGTCATCTTGCGGAAGTCCCTGGTTGTGGGTGTAATGGATGGATTGATAACAGCAGAGATAACAGATAACCCTGTGGCAGTTTGTCAATCCAGATGCAGGAGCTGGGGTTGGTTATTTAGATCTTTGATCCTGTTCCCCTGCTCACTTCGATCATTGAAAGGAAGTTGTTGACTTTAGGCAGTGCCTTTGATCCCCTCTGATTATTTCAGCATACTTCAGTGATGTAATATGTTGCGATGTAGGAAATGCAATGGCGCAAATTGGGTGTAGAAGTTCTCAGAAGCAATGATGCGATAATGGCCTAATAATGTGCTTTACCATGTTAGTTGAAAGATAAGTAGACCAAGACACTAGGAACATCTCTCCTGCTCATCCTTGAAATAGTGCCATGGGATCTTTCTGGCATTTTCTATGGATCATTTGTCATCTTGCCGAATTCTATGTTACCTTGTTTTACACCTAAAATGCTTTCTGTCATGTTAGGCTTTAAGATTTTACGGGACCAAAGCAGCTGGATGGGATTAAGTTCCGAATCTGCCTCGAAGTAAATCTATAGCAGGAGAGCCTTGAGGGGCTGAACGTCATCCTCTTGTTCCTACACTTTACTCCATTTCTTAAGCAGGACTCTGGCCCCCTAATATTTTTCAGAAGAAGTCAAAGTTGGCGGCCCACCAGATGATGGGTCCAAGGTGCCATCTTTCAGGTAAAATCACGTGACATGACTATATCACCCAATAGTCCTCTTTACCATTTGTTGAGGATTTACCGTTACTCACATGGCTAGATTGAAATAACTCTAGGGAGGCTGCTATTCCGTCTCTACGTCACCCTGTGTTTACACGTGCGTAGTACGTGACACTGACCTCCTATAGCAAGCAGAACCCCTGATACTCCTGGTTATATCTGTCAGCCAGGGCTCCCTGATTGGGGCCGTCAACCTGGTCCATTCAGGGAACTCATATTCTATGAGATTTGCCTGGCTGACATTCATAGAATCATAGAATCATAGAATCCCTACAGTGTGGAAACAGGCCCTTCGGCCCAACACGTCCACACGTCCATCCCATCCAGACCCATTCTCCTATAACCCACATAATCTACACCTCCCTGGGCACTATGGGCAATTTAGCACGGCCAATCCACCCTAACCTGCACATCTTTGGACTTGTTGCAACCACTGCATGATCTTGCCATTTTTTTGTCATATCGTTGTAATATATTGCCAGGTCTGAACATATTGCTCCATTGCCCTCCCATTGGGCGATGTGTAAATAAGGATTAATTCAATTATCTTACAGTGAGCCAGTACGTTAGTTTGACTCAAGGCACAACGCATCTGTGAAGGAAACTTGACATAAATCTGGAGTTGATGCTTATGAGTATTTAGGGAAATTTCTTCCCCCAAAGGTAATAACGTTACATCTCTGTTCTCGGATTGATGAAAGGGCATGCCGTGTTTGTCTCTGGAGAGTTTGCACTGACCTACCCCTCTGACCATTGACTTATGCATCTCTCGTGTTCGCTGTGGTTCAGAGGACTGCACTGTTACCTCTGAGTCAGAGTATTGCGGGTTCAAATCGAACTCAAAGTTGTGTGAGGACTCAACGTTGACGGTTAACCGGGTGAAGCTTCACACGGTCCTAGGTGCTGTCTTTCAGGTAAAATCAAGCAACGTGGCTACATACTGTGGGGGGGTGCCTATATTGGAAGAAGGCCAAGCAGTTACCACCAGTGTGTTGGCCAACATGCAACCCTCAATAAACACCACAAATGTAGATTATCTGACCAACATCCAGTTGTTGCTTCTGGGGGACGACAGCTATAATACTGTGAACAGTTTTTGGGCCCCTTATTTCAGGAAAGATTGTACTGGTATTGGAGGAAGGCTGGTACCAGTTACAGAGGAGATGGATTAGGTTGGGCCTGTGCTCATCGGAATTTAGAAGAATGGGAGGTCATCTTATTGACATATTTAAGATTCTCAGGCAACGTGACAGCTATTTCATCTTGTGGAAGGGTCTAGGATCAGAGGGCATAATCTCAGAATAACAGGGTCACTCATTTGAGACAGTGAGGAGGAGGAATTTCTTCTCTCAGTGGGGAAGTGAGTCTGAGCAATTCTTTATCACAGACAGCTGTCAAGTTTGGGTCATTAAGTATATTCAAGGCCCAGGCAGATTTTTAATCAGGAAGGGAATCAAGAGTTTATGGGAAAATACAGGAAAGTGAAGTTGAGAAGGATCTCATTAGCTATGATCTCATTGAATGGCGAAACAGACTCATGGGCTGTATAACCTACTTCTACTTATGATCTTATGGAACTTTGGCTTTGTTTCCCACATTATGGCAGTCATTGAAGTTTAAAAAAATGTTTTTAATTTGTTACGAATCACTTCAGAAGGTTGTAAAGTCATGAAAGGCTTGATATAAATCCAAGTCTTTAAGTTGCTTTAACTATTCTTTGCTCTTGTCTATTCTTAGCTTGCAATTCAAATAATGTTATTCATTCCATAACTTTAAAGGTCTTATGAAGGCTTAAAATGGACCTACTTTTCAATTCTCCCGTTTCTGCTAATAACAGAACGGAGAAAATATACCTCCCAATATTTGGTTATGGATCACATTTGGGATAGGTCGGGAAGGCTAGAAAGAGTGGTTGTGATAGCATTAATGTCAGATAGTGACAAAAATAGAGGTTGCTGGAAAAGCTCAGCAGGTCTGTCAACATCTCTGAAGGAAAAAAAATCAGAGTTAATGTTTCGGGTCCAGTGACCCTTCCTCGGAACAGGTCTGAGGAAGGGTCACCGGACTCGAAACGTTAACTCTGATCTTTTTCTTCACAGATGCTGCCAGACCTGCTGAGCTTTTCCAGCAACCCCTGTTTTTGTTCCTGATTTACAGCATCCACAGTTCTTTCGGTTTTTAACGTTAGATAGTGATAGGGCTAAGGCACGTTGCTGTTTGTTGGGACTAAGTACTAAGTTCAGCTATTCAAAACTCTGATAAACAAATGAGTATACGTCAGGTTTCCATGTGCTTTATTGACCTTTCTAAATTCAAGCTTCAGTGGTTATGAAAATAAGGGGATACGTACATGCATTGATGAATCATCAGCAATCACTCAGGGACCTCCCAGACTTCTAATTGGTAATCTCCTTCTGGCTTCACCTCAAAATATACATACACTCCTGACACTGTGAGCCTGTGCAAACATACGGATAACAATGACATGAATATCCAAATCATCTAAATGTGGGCGTTTTTTGTTGTTTATTCCATTAGGTCAAACCACCATTTTAAAATGATTTCTGAGAGAGCACTGTTTGTTATCCATTCCCTAACTGAACTGGAAAGCCTGAGGCCATATACAGACCGATCTTGGATCTGACAGGAAACCTGTTGATTTGGTGAGGTAAAGGTAAAGTCAGGAGAGGCAATGGCCTAGTGGTATTATTGCTGGATTGTTAATCCAGAGACCCAGGTAACATCTTGGGGACTCAGGTTCAAATCCCGCCATGGCAGATGGTGGAATTTGAATCCAATAAATATCTGGAATTAAGAATCTAATGATGACCATGAATCCATTGCTGCTTGTTTGAAAAACTCATCTGGTTCACTAATGCCCTTTAGGGAAGTTAACTGCCATCCTTACCTGGTCTGGCCTACATGTGACTCCAGACCCACAACAATATGGTTGACTCTCTGGGCAGTTAGGGATGGGAAATAAATGCTGCCTAGACAGGGACACCCTTATCTTGTGAATGAATAAAGGAAGAAAAATAAATATGCCTTTCCAAACTGCTTTCTCATTTGAGAGAGATGACTGGTGGTGGCTTAATGTGAGGGTCACCAAGCCTCAGGCGAGGGGAGAGGTTGGAAAGGAAAGTCCTTCATGATAACCTGAGCTGGAGTGGCACAGGAATTGAACCCCAGCTCTTGGCATTAGTCTGCATTACAAAGCGAGCCATCCAGCCAAGTGATCCCATGCATGAGATCAGCCAAACACAGCTGGGGCAGACTTTCCTTGGTAATCCTCCTGGATGACAAAATTCTGATTGGATTGGTTTGCTGAGCTGACTGGTTTTCGTGCAAACGTTTTGTCTCCCTTCTAGATTTTAAAATGTTAAAATCCTAATGAGCTGTAGTCTTGCTAAAGGAATTCAGGCACTGAAGCTCCAAGGGGACTTGTTTGTACTGAGTGTGCTACAATTGGGAGGGTTATGGAACTGACAATTCCTACTCCAGGAAGAAAGGGGCTTTGACTGCCTAACTCTACGACTGTAGTTGTAGCCCAAGTCCCAGAAGATCATAGGGTCGCTCTCTCATTAAAGAGACAGACTCACAACTGGTGGTGATTCCAACATGAGGGTCACCGCACCTCAAGCAAGGGGTGAGGTCCAAAAGGTAGGACCTTCATGGTAACCTCAGCTGATGTGGGAATCGAACCAGTGCTGTTGCTGCATTGTTAGGAAGCCACCCAAGCTAACTAACCTCCCACCCAACCAACTGCACGCAAAACAGGGAGAGCTGTAACCCAAAGGAGAAAATGGATGAAGTCCTCATTTACTGGAAATAAATCCACTTTCAGTAGTAATGAGGGTTTGAGGGAAGAAGCCAACAGCTGAAAGAAGCTTACGAGGGGTTGGGCTAGTACAGTTATTATAGGATTACAAGCAGCCGAATAGGCCATTCGGTCCATTAAGTCTGCTCCATTATTCAATGGCCAATCTGACAATCCTTAACTCTACTTTCCTGCCATTTCTCTGCAGCCCTTGATTCCCTTCCTGATTAAAAATCTGGCTGTCTCGGCCTTGGATATAATCAATGTGATTAACTCAGTGAGTGTGAAATGGCCCAGCAAGCCAACCAGTCATCTTTAAGAAAGTGGCTCACCAACACCTTCTCAAGGTGATTTTCTCAATAATCTCCCTGTCTCACAGTGAAATGGCTATCTCCTTCCCTTGACCGTTGTTTTATCTTCCCTTCCCTCATTCTCTCTCCCTCTCTGATCAGTCTTCCTGTCAAATCTTGTCCACAGAACACAGGTTGTTCTTTCGCTGGTGAGTGGAAATGGCCAGACCATAATTTGGGATTTGAGAGAATTACTTCCTACAATTGATAGGGCCATTGCTTAGATCAACACTTACCTTTTTAGTCTACAAGATGAATATCTCTCTGATATATTTAATGTAATTAATGCACATAAAAAGCAATGGAAATTATTCCTTTTAATTGTTTAGCAGGTCAATAGTCACATGTTAAATTAGGTAACAATCACATTTCAGAGAAGTACAAAGGTTTTGTTGTAAATCTATAATTTATTACCACCATCAGTTTCTACATTTACATTATGGGCCCTTTCTCTGTAGGACCCACACCCTCTCTGGGAAAGAACCCAGTTCTTTTTGTTTTGCATAAGCCCAATCATCACTGTACAAATAACAAACAACAAATACTGCCCACTGGGAGCCCAGTTCTTGTTCTTTCACCTTTAACATTAAAAAAAACCCATCACTAATTCTTCCAATCGACAAGTGTGAACGAGAACAACAATCAAAAAGGTGAGCAAACAAAGAACAAAATAGTGGTGGAGATAACGCAGTCCAGCACCTGTGGAGCCCACCTACCCATGAAAGCTTTGAGGCTCCCATAGACAACTGTCCAAGCAAAGATGGAAGAGAGTCAGGATTTATCACTTCCTCCACACCCACCATCTGGACGGGGATCCAGTTTGTTTTTTTATTTTTGTTCCAACCGCCCACTTAAAACAAGCAACAATTTACAAGAGCTGCCAACCAGGGGAAGCATGACAATGACATCAAGAAAAGGCAAAGAGGGAGAAGTTAAGTGAAAACGGAATCAGACGGGATAAAAGTACACACCAGCCCCCATTATCACTGCACTATTAATCCAAGTAATATTCTGGTGGAGCTGGGTTTGAATCCCACCACAGGGGAGAGTGGGATTTGAATTCAATTTTTTTTAAGGCAAGAGGGGAAAGATTTAAAAGAGACCTAAGGGGCAACTTTTACACGCAGAGGGTGGTGGGTGTATGGAATGAGCTGCCAGAGGAAGTGGTGGAGACTGGTACAATTATAACATTTAAAAGGCAACTAGATGGGTACATGAATAGGAAGGGTTTAG